AATTCAGGCCAATATTTTGACTTACACCCCAAGTATTATTTCGAGACAATATGGTATATTCTATATAATAGTATTTTGCGATATATTGAAATATATCAAAATAAAATTAACAAATGAATATTATTTAGAAATTGTTAAAAACTTTGAATATGACTACCATACTTTATATAATTGTCTCTTAGTTGATCACACATTTTGCCGTTTTACTGTACCTCTGTTATGGGCCAATCCTTTGTATGATATATCTAAACATTCTATAAATGTTATATCTACTTATCTTAATGAAAATAAAAAATATCAATTGACCTCAAGCACGTATCAAGTCGACCTATCATGTCTTTTCAAAAAAACTTTATTTGAATATACTGAATTTATAAAGATATATTCAAGCTACAAGTTAAAAAACGTCATCTCATTGTGGTATCAATATACTCAGGATATATCTAAGCCTAGTTTAGAAACTTCAACCTTTGTGTCTATTCAAAGCATGTTATTTTGAAGATATAAGAAAATCAATAAATTCTATATTTCAATGGCTGGAAATAGTTTAACAGTTCCTTTAATCCCCAGCTCATAGTTCTATTCATCAAAACTGAGAGACTGCGAATTTAAATTTGTTGTTTCAAATAGTTAAAACACAAATGTATACAATTATATTAACTTGATTTTAACATGGAACAAAAGAATTCAGACCATCCGTATTATGGCATATAATGAAGATATACCACCAAATTGCCAAGAACCATTTTTAAATTTAATTAAGACTCAATCTGAACTCAAAAAATTTGAGCCAAAATATTTTAGTACAACTAGTTTTACGCCTTTACTACAACACAAAATGCTCCAAGTAAAATCTTAAAGCCTTAGAAAACTAATTTTACAAGGAATCAAGTTTGATAAAGATAATCTTGCAAATCTTGTGCCAAACTTAGAGGTTTTATCAATAAAACATTCTTTTGAAAATCTTTTTGGAATAGACCAGAATAATTTACAAAATCTTCAAAGACTTGAATTAGTAGATAATGATATAGAATTAAATAAAATTATACTAAAGACAAAATGCAAATTATTAAAATTTTTTATAATAAATGAGAAGGAATTAAGCAATGAAATAAAGGAGGAATTTATTTTTTTGCTTTGTCAAAATTATCCAAACATAACTACTTTATGTTATGTGACTGATAATCTTATATTCTCTTCTATATTTAAAAAATTTTATAAGCTTTGTCAACTACAAATAGGAGGATTTGCTTATTATAATATTCCTTATACTAGTCAAGATTATCTACAGACCTTAATCAGATATTTGCCTAACTCTTTAAAAATTCTTAGCTTTCTTAATATTTATGATTATAGTTATGAAAATTTGAATTATTTTTTACAAGCTTTAAATATAGAAAGTGTGAAGTTAGAAGTTTTTATACTACTTTTTAATTTTGAGCTTGATCAACTTCCAAATTTAAGAAAATTTATTGAAAAAGCTAAATATTTAAGATATATAGAAATAGTAAGATCAGACGTGAAAAAACAAAAAGATAGTGAGAGAGAAATAATTGATTTTTGTCATGTTAGAAACATAAAATGTAGTTTAAAATATCAATTAGAGAGATATAAAGATTATATTTGTACTTATGAGATAAATTTTGAATCATACATAAGAACAGAAGAATAACCATTTAAGGCTATATACCTATTAATATTTAGCATTAGTTATACTTTCCAAATAAAATATTTGACTCGCAAATAAAAATTTTATTATAATATTTAATGTAAAAAGAAACTTTATAAAGCTGTTGACTTTTAAAAGAAGAAATTTTACATCTGTTTTATTATTCACTTTTCAATTATTTTGACCTCTGTCTATTTTCCTACGGCCCTAGGCATATGATAGTAAACTGAGTTCTAAGTTATATCATAGCTTGCAGTCAAAAATATATGACATAGTAAATAATTTTGACTAGATGATCCAAATGTTTGATCATGCGATATGATGATCACTGGGCTCTGTGTCCTTGAAACTTCTCAAGAAGAAATATACTGTATATAGAACTGATTTATTAAATATATTTAACTAGCAACTAAAATTTATTTTTAATCAAAAGAAGGCCATCATTGTAATTTGACCTAGTTCATTTGAATCAACTGATATTAAATATCTCGATTGATATAAAAATTAATACATTCACCTTTCCTTCTATTTAGGCCAGACTAATTAAATTCTATATTTTACATTACCCCCTCTCCCCTCCAGAAGAGGGGGGAAGGGGGAATTTGCAGTTTACATAGTAAATTTTTTTTACTACGATGGAGAGGGTGGAACGCTTAGGAGAGGGGGAACGCTTAGGAGAGGGGGGAACGCTAGGGTAATGTAAAATACAGAATTTAATTGGTCTGGCCTTATATTGAGCTTACAACTTCATTTTGAAAGTGTCTTATTGGTTTTTTCTTTTTAAGATACTGGTGAAATGTTGAGAGATCTGTTTATAGTATTAACAAGAGGGATTAACAAGAGAGGGTCTAAAAATGGTTACAGGATCATTTTAGGTACTGTTAACGTTAATGTCCGAAGCTAAAAATATAAGTATTGATTATTGGTTTTGTTGATTTATATAGTTTGATTGGCAATTATTTGATCACATGACTGGAATCCAACACAAAATCATGTCAATTGCACGCTTCGGACAATTAATGACACTTTGAATTATTAATTGTACGTACAAGCTATTTGTTTTTGTAAAAAAAAATGTAAATCCAATAACTAATAAGATTTTTTTTTTTTAAACATATCTATATTTGGTTCTTTATTCTATCACAGTGTCATGGGGCTGATTAGGTTGTTAAACAAACTTTTTGTTTTTGTAAAAAAAAAATGAAAAACAATCAAATCATGCATTAAATTATGCGATAATTTGCTTGTTGCATGTATATTAATTTCAATTTAGAAATCAAGTAAAATAGCGGTTAAATAATTGACAATATATTCTATGTCCGGGCATTTCTCAGGTATGAGATCCCAACAATCTTGGTATAGTCTTGTGTAATGAGGCAGAGTTCCTTCAACCGGTGTTTCTCTCATTCCTTTAAAAACTTTGAGAAAAAGGTGTACATGGTCTTGAACTAATTGTAATAGTGGTTTACCACTTGATATTTTCCAGAAAATCATTCCAATACTATAAATATTTGATTTTTTAGTAAATTTATATATAGCGGTAGGATCGGTATATGCTAGAATTCTACAAGGTTCATCAGTATTTGGAGTTTCTTGGTTCAAAAATTTGCTTGTCCAAAATCTGAAATTAATATTTTTCTTTCATATATTCCTTCATAAACTAGAATATTTTTGGTGTACTAAAAAAAATATAAATTTATTAATATTTTTTTGTACCATTTTTAAATAAATTAACAAATTAATACTTACAAGATCTCGATGAATAATATTATTTTTATGTAAAAATTCAACACCTTTTGAGATTTCATATGCCATTTGTAATTTTTGGATCCATGTACGTTTTTTAAATGATTTTTCTAAATAAATTCGTAAGTCACCCTTATTTGCAAATTGGAAAACCATGTTAAAGGAATTATTATGAATAGTTGTAGTTTTGTAAAATTTAATAATGTTTTGGTGTTTAGAATTTTTGCAAACTTTTTTTATGATCTTGAGCTAAAATAAATATTCTGTTATTAACATAATATACTAAAATCTTCTTGCATCAAATATCATGAGTTCTTACTTTTTGTTTAAATTTATCAATATCATTTTCATTTTTTAATTGTTTTATAGCGACAGTAATCTCTAACTGATGACTTTGTCTTTTCCATATTGCTTTAGATATGATTCCAAATCTTTCTTCATCAATTTTTTTTAAGTCAGAAAATTCAATATTATTTATTTCTTTTGAAATCATGTTTTTGATAATTTTATTAAAAAATATCGAAAAGAGCAAAAGAAGTGTAAAGTTCAAATCTTACAGTAACGGTAATTGTTTTTTGGCATAATTTTTTACCAATATTATTGGTAAGAATAGACAAAGTATTATAGAAAATGCATAATACTGTAATCAATTTTTCGAAGTTAAATTTTTTCCAAATAGAAATTGATTTGCATAAACCAATTAGATTCAAGAATACTGAAACAATTGTTTATCCAGTCAAATTTTATGCACAGTGAGTTTAAGTTTAATAATAAAAATCATGTGACCACATAAACTCAAGTTTAATTGTATTATAAGTAATTTCAAAAACATATTTAAATTATTCATTATAATGATATAAAAAAAAACTTTTAGAATACTTATAATTGCCATCAGGATGGAAGATATAATAACGATAATAGGTTAATCAAAAGGATTTAATAAATTAGATAGCGTTGGAGTTATGCGTGATTTTATAGTGGACTTTGGTTTAAGTTCTCTTTTTTTAATCGGTTTAGATAAATACTGGTTAAATATAAGATTAAATTTAAGGTTGGATGTAAGGTTGAATAAAACGTTGAATGTATACAGTATTTTTGATTTATATGATAACTATTTAAACTCTCAACATTATATTTAACGTTGTGGATGTGTATCATTTTAATATAACAAGAATTTCTCTGATACATGTTATTTTTATACAAATACTTGAATTTAATTGGATTAAAATTATGATATAAGTATGCCAGTTTAGGAGATGCATAACGATAAGGTTTTGTATTTATAAATTTAATGATTACTATATTGTAAAACTGTAAAATAATACACAGGAGGTGTAACTTCGATAATGGCCTAATTTAGACTAAAATTCGAAATTACACTCTTGCGCGTTATTTCATAGTTTTAGTGTATAATTAATGCTCAAATTTTTTGAACTGCTTATATGGTTTTATATTACTGTATTAGTATACTCTTTTTATTAAAGTATCTAAAAGTTAATAATAATATCACTTGACTTAACGGACCCACGGATCTGTAAGATCATATGATCATATGATCATAGCATCACTTATAGAAATATTTCGACCCTACTCCATTTTGCCTTTCATTATCACCAGTAATAATATTTTCCAATTATTATGAACATAGATTTTCTACTACATTTATTTCTATTTACATTTATTTAGAAATTTTGAAGATTTCCCACATAATGGTCAAAAAGTGCTTAATAATTCTGGGCAAAATTATGAATTATGTTTGCTGTGAACCAGAATTCTTTTAATGCCGGCCGAATTAAATGGTTTAAAATAATATATAGATTATTTATATTATCTGTTTAATGTTTGGTTCATATCACTACATTTAATCATAAAAAGTTGTTGTTTTTTTTTATTTTAAATAAATCAATAATGTGAATATATTAAAAATTTAGAAAAATATTTAAATTTTTATTAATCTATTTAATCCTTTGTAATTGCTCACAATTATATAATGTGGTTTTATTATTTGATAGATCACAAATATCTGTATCTAAGACATTACGATTATACAACTTTGAACATAATATATTTGAAAGCGATGCAGAATGAGAAAATGAAGCTATTTTTGCTGCTTCGCTGGTTGATCTAACGATTATTTTTCTAATGTTTGGTAATTTTATGCAAATTCAATTCTTGTACTTTTCAAAAGCCTAAAAAAACAAATTTTAGTTAAAATATTATACTGTTTAAATTAAAACAACTAGTAACTATTACCTACTATATAAAAATTTTAATTAGCAATGCATATTAATAAATGATATAATGAATTACTTAGGAACACTTATTATCATTATATCATTATCATTATGCTATTAGATTATATTGATAAAAGAAATACATTTTTGTTAGGTCATGTTATTAATATTAACGTCTTATAAATAAGGGTATTTTAAAATCAGAAATTTTCTCATGTATTTATCTGCTCATAAAACAACCAAGAAATTTGGAATTTCATCTGATACTTTAAGACGTTGATTAAGACAGGGAAAAATATCTGCGAAAACGTCTCCATCCGGGACTCATCTCTATGATATTTCTTTTTTTTTTACCAGAGTTGATTACTCAAAATGATACCTCAACCACCTCCGTTATTGAAAAGAAAGGTTTCCTATACACATGTGTCTCAAGCAACAAACAAAAAGAAGATCTTGAAAGACAGAAACAGATCTTTAAATCTAGATTTCTGAATTATGAGCTCATTAGTGATATCAGGTCAGGTATCAACTTTAAAAAAAATGGACTTAAAACTTTACTAAAACGATTAAGTAAAGGAATGGTCTCAGAAATTTTGGTTACCTACTATGACCGACTCTGCAGATTTGCATTTGATCTCATTGAATATATGTTCTCGGTACACTTTATGAAACTCGTGGTTCTCTTCGACGAATCAAGTTCTGACGAGCATGAATTATCACAAGATATCCTTGTAATCAACACTGTCTTTATCTGTCAAATACAGGGAAGAAGAGCAGCTAAATACCGAAGCGAACGAAAACTAATGAAAAATAAAAACAATAAAAACACAAAGCAAAAACAAATGAAAAATCGAAACTACTGTGAATCAAACGTTATCAATCAAAACATATCTGAATCATTCTCAGAAAAAGATATTGAAGAGATGGCTAGATTTGATGAGATACACTTATAATACTGTTATTAGAAGGAACAAAAATCATCATTTTTGTAATAGTTCTAAAAATTTTAAATGGATAAAACCT